TGGGTCATTTGCATGCATAACAACGTTCATTATGTGAGACAGATTGGCCCACTGTAAACCGAACAATGAACGAGCATGGCACATTACCCTCACAAATCATCACATTTCGTTCCTGCTTGCTGTAGCAAGCATGGGAACAGGGCCATCTGGTTTGACACAAACTATGAAAGCTATACTGGGGAAAAAAGATTGCCAGCAGGGTTCTCGTCAAGCCGGCCCTTTGTTTCTGGCACGATACCGGTAAGTATTAAACGGTACATGTCATGCGATTGTGCAAATCTATTCAGAGATAATTTGTAATGAGGTTTATCCTCTTCGGCATCTTATACCGGCGGTTATGTATGTTTTTCAATGCAGACTTGCTGTGCATACTCGTACATGTACATGGGATAGTTTTTAAAACCTACATGTAAATTTAAACCCTGAACTTCAAATTGCACACATGTACGTGTACATGTACATGTAAGCACCAAGTACACATGTACATGTACATGTACGCAGTGGGCTGTAAGGGCATTTAACCACACTTCCATGCACGTACAACGTGTACAATACTACAAACATTGAGACCTTGTCCTAGAGACCAGTGTGGGGGGGGACATGTCCACCCCCCCTCCCGAAAAGATCTTGCCAGTTTCAATATTTTTCAGTCTCTCATCAGGACTTCCAAATTTTCCTCTGTCTCTAAATCTTCCAAGTTGCTTTTTTGAATTCATGTACAATCCTCTGGCAATTCCTGTCACCGTGTCGAGGCAATGTGCATGGTATCCTGGAGCAGTGTAGATGACTTCCATATATATGTACGTGTACCCACAGCAGGTACATGTACATGGAGGCTAACTTTAACAGCTAGGTAGGCCTGAATGTACATGTACTCGTATGCATCATTGAACACAGACAACACAAGATCTCATCGGAGACAGTGAGACCATTCATCCTTTGCAATCGGCCACACTCTCGCGCCAGGCATCCTCAATCCTTCAAATTTCTCGCCAACCGCTCGTCGGATTTTGGAGGAACGAGGAAGGTTTGCATGGTTTGGGTTTTAAGTTATTTTAATGAACTGCTGTCACTGTTCACCCTGATACTTGGTTTTTGTGTCTGGTCTTGTGACGGTCTCATTAACAACACTGTTCCATACAGCTCCAATTTTGCACTTTTGGGGATGCAGCTGCGCTGCAAGGACTGTGACATTGAAAAAGTGCAAGGGAAGGTTTAACACCAGTTCACCATCACGTCATCACATACCGTACGATATGTCATTTGGCCTTCCAGCATGAGCATGACAGAGTGTTTTGCATTTTACAAGTAATTGCAAGTGCCATATGTTGACGGTGCACGCAGGTCAGATCAAGTGCAAGAAACTGACAGGGCACTCAATATGCCGCCCACATAACGTAAAACTAAGCCTCACTAATCCTTTCATAATCAGGTAGTGCACGGGAGGAAAAGAACACAGACTGTACATGTACCTTACATGGACCTCATTTGCTGGGAAGCCATTTTGATCTTGTTCCCTGAATCTATTGTACAAAGGCAATGTGTGTTGGGTGGTACCAGACTGCTTTTTGGTTCGAGGCCTCACTTTCAGGGTTTTTTTTTTTCGATGTGGCTTTCAAGAGTTAGACACACAGGAACATGCCACAAATTTTTAATTATTCCAAATGTAAGAACGGTGATACGTTACCTACCCGTAACCTTTTTATTTCGTTGCTGTAATTTTTATTCTCAGGATCCCACAACGAAAAGTTAGGGCCTCACTTTCAATTCAATATGGCTGACAGATAGATACAATCTACATGTACATGTACCACTGTAGAAAAGAGCTTTTGCAGCACTTGAAGGGTCTCTGCGATGCATTTTTGTTTTTTATACAAACCTCCAAATTGCACTTTTGTGTGTCAGTTGATTTTATTTTCAATTTTACTACATTATTTTAAGGAATACTGGTATTTTGAGGCCTTTCTGTTTCTACGCTAATGAGTACTTCCATTTTAAAACCAGAGCAAAACTGTGATGTCATTCCAGGCAGAAAACTTCCACATTATATTGGTTTGTATACACCAAAATGTAGACATTTTCATAGATTTTGCTAGCCTAAATTCTCCTTTCTTTGGCAACTAAGTATTGTGTAAATTATCTAAAGGTACATGTACATGTACCGCACAGAATGTGCAGGAATGTGGAAAAGCATCTCCACAATGTACTGTACATGTACATTTATGTTTTTCATGGACAACGTGCATCAAGCCTACCCATAGCCGAGCAAATACTCATACATGTATGTACCGTACACAACATAGCCATGTAAATTAAATGGCACGTGTGTACAATCATAGAGGTGATTTAATACAAACATAAGGGAAATATGCTATACATTTTACCAGGTACATGTGCATGCATACAATGTACAGGTGCATGCATACAATGTACAGGTGCATGCATACAATGTACAGGTGCATGCATGCAATGTACAGGTGCACGCATGCAATGTACAGGTGCACGCATGCAATGTACAGGTGCACGCATGCAATGTACAGGTGCATGCATACAATGTACAGGTACATTTACATACACAATGCTTTCTTATTATTCCTGCCCACTGGGTCCAGAAACATTCCTATCAACAGCCATGACCCACCTCAACTCCCTGGGAATAAACAATCACCAGTGCAACAAATGTATCATTTAGGCATTTGGAGCCCCGAGCTGGACCAAGACAGGACTTGATTTTCCTGGCAACGGAGGCTCCTTTGGTAGGAACTGCACTTGAACACTTCAAACCAACATGGTTCTTTTTAACCAATGAGGGGGTGCTTCTGCTCAAAGGTGGATAGAGGGTTTGCAGGGCTGCCATCTTGCAGGCCAAAACTTTTGTTTCACAGGGTAGCGCAAAGCCTCTATACTATCAAACACAAAACAACCTCACAGGTACCCGTTTACTGGTAACCGGTATGAATAACTGTAGTCCTGGCCTCTTCGCCAAAGACGCATTTGAATGACGGCAGACTGATTTGTCCAAGGTCACAATGGATGTCCCACTGGAGAATTCAAACCGTGACACTGCAACTGTAAGGTGCAGGTACAAAACCTACTCACTAAAAAGACGCACACTTCTACTCGTTAAACGTACAGTACATGTAACGTACATGTATGGGTCATTCCATGAGGTTGGGGCACAATTTGGGATGGTGTCCATGGTTACGTGGGTTCCATAAAAATGAACAGCTATTTCCCTGCATGTGGATTCCAAATTATACATCTTGCAAGGCTGAATACAGAGGTGTGTTACTACATGTACATGTACTCTATACATGTAGGTCATGACAGGTGGTAAAAGTTACCCATGTAACAAGACCACCGTCACAAATCGTGCCCCAACCTCATGGAATGATGCACATGTACTGTACATTCCTTATACGTGTTGGTGTACCGGTACATGTACAGTATACATTGTGCCAATATTGGTCCACTATGTACAATATGTTCAAAGACCCTAGTCTCAGTATCAGAAGTTAGTCTTGATATGATAAAATGGATTAGCAAAGCCAGTAATACCGTTACCTATGAGATAGTGTACTGAGTACACAAAAGGAAAGTTACATGTACGAACACGTCCATTAACATCTGTACCAGATGTCCGAACACATCCATGTACAGTCAAACCTTGTTTACATGTTTGTTTGTTTACATGTTTGTTTACATGTGGGTCCCAATCCCTTCGTTTTTCATTGTTTTCATTCCCAATAATTCAAGGTTCCTGTCATAACAAGGTTATCTGCTGAGTGCGATGAGCCTCTTACTAACGACATGTACAATGTGCTGTAGGAACTGTGTAGCTGTAATGTACATGTTAGAGCACTGAAGGAATTTTACAGAATACGCGAGTCAGATGTATAGTTTGTACATGTACCAATAAAATGCCGCTTTTGGGGGGAAAAAAAGAGGGGAAGGAGGAGATTGTCACCGCCTTGGTCTGTCGGTCAGAACCTGCTACCAAGTCCAAACAGGGATAAGATTGACCAATGATAAAAAATAGCTGAAAACGGCCGCAAAAAGGCACAAAAAAGCTGAACTGTGAAAATCTCCTATACTTCTGTACACAGCCAGTGAGGGGAAAAGCTGAAATCCAAAACAAACAAAGCTGAAATCAGCTAAAAAGCTGAGAAATCTCACCCCTAAATAAATGGATTAAGGCTGGGAAAATGTTATGGCATACCATAATTTGGTTACCTTCGGGTACATGTGGAGCTTCTCTCTTAAAAAAGTCACAGACCAGAGACCCGTGCAGGGCTAAATGTCACGAACACAGTTCGTACATGCATGTACACTGTACATCATACAGGCATCTGGCATGCAGCACTTTACTGTATTTTAAACGGGTTTTCCATGAGAATGGATACGATCAAAGCATTGGATAAATCAGGTATCAGTGTGTGAATGGACACACTCACTCAGTCTAGATACTGGTACTAGAAATAACCTACACAGTAAAAATTCTGCACAGGCCTAATTTTGGATGTTCATTACTTTTAGCACCTGTTCCTATAATAAGGAAACAAGTCTAAGTTGTACTGGAGATCATTATGGTGGTGGCATAAAATATTCCTCCATAAACCGGGCATAATGTAATGACACCATGAATGATGTCATGAATGTACATGTACATGTATAGGCCTACAACCTTTACTTAGCGTTAGTAATTAGTGCATGCACGGCATGAAAACTCACAGCATCTCAAACATGCTTAGGAAGTTAGGACCAACAATAACATTTAGGGCAGGAATCCTCCTATAAATTATACAGTCAGCCCGCACTGCATAAGAAAGTCGTTCAGTCTATTTGCTAATTCACGAACTCAGGCCAAGCATGGAGGCCAGGAAATATGCCGAGGCAGCTCCACAACGCTGCCGCCAAATTTGGTCCAATAGGGTGTCTGAATCCGACAAGTCAGACATCCATTCTCCTTTTCACTCCAATAAAAACGAAAGTGGAATTACCTGAAGATCCGCGTCTGTCTTTCAGTGCACCTTGGGGGTGGGTTAGCTCCCGGTAATTCCAAGAAAAACCGCAACACGCTTTCCCTGGCGACCAGGCCGACGATGTACCACCAACGTGGATCACAAACACACACACACACGTCGCGCGCGCCGCCAGTCGAGCTTGTCGTCGGCCGGTCATTCACAAATATCCGGTGACGTCGTGCAGCTCAAATTGGTGGGCAAATCGAAAATCCCTGCGCTACAAGAAGTAATCCGGAACAATTTGCCCCTTGTAATAAGGAATCTTTACCAAGGGGCAGGCACCCATATTTCGGCTATAAGCAATCATGACAAAACACTTTGCTTCCATGGGTTCAAGCTCCGTTAAAACGTGTTTTATTCAGGGAGTCGTATTTGGGGGAGGATTAATTTATAGACGGGGCTAGTCAGTCCTTTTGCTTCCGGAAGTGATGACGTCGTTTGTTTACAAACTGTAATTTGCATTAAAAATAGGTCGGCGAAAGGGGGCGGGCTTGCTCGAATACAAAGTCCCGAGAGCTGCACGAATACGCCCCACTGATCTCTACTACACTGTCAGTATCGTGCTAGTAGAGATCAGTGATACGCCCCCATAGAAAACAGTGCAAATTGCGACCGAAATAGCGCCGCCTGTTGACTCTCGTGAAGAGGTTGGCCTGCGTTTTTTCGCTGGAAATTCAAAATTATGGCCAGAGGATCACTTGTTGTTTCAATTTTATGGGGGTTAGCCACGAAAAAAAATTTATTCACCTTTTCCCGAAGATACCCAAAAATAATAGTAATATCATGCACTCGGCTCTGAATGTAGCCGCCGCCCGCCTCTATCCGAAATAGGCTCGCAATTTGGGGCTTTTTGTGAAAGAAATACCCCGAACCGGAAACTACATCAGTCCCAAATTTGGAAAGTTTCTTACGATCCCTCCTAATTAATGGTATGGATTATTCACCCCCGTGGGATCACAAAATATTAACGAGCTCGCACGCAGAAATACGACCATTTGGTGTAATGCTACCCCAAGAGATGTTGATAATTAACATACGAACGCAGGGCATGTTTCCAAAACTACAGGAGTATTCCTTGATCTGCGCGGTGCCGGACTAAAATCAAAACTATGGGCAAATTCACCCCTCGGTATAGGGAATTTACGCAGAGTTGAAGAATGAAGAATTCCAGCCCAAACATTCAACGAAGACAATTTTCGATTCCTAAAAAAATCTTCTATTTACTTAATCTGGCCCATGTAGATTCAAAACGATGCGTTTGCAACATTTAAAAAGAAAAGAAAGCAGTACCATAGAGCAAAACCTTGAACGTATTTTAAGAGCACATGCATACAAATTTTCATTTTTTTAAATATGTAAATCAAACCACAGTTCGACCACTTACAATGGTCGCAAGAGTTTTGTAATAAATAAATACATAAAAATATAACAAAAAAATACAGGCAATGTGAGTGCGTTACGCGTAATGCGCGCTGAACGCGCTGCCATCCACTGTTTTGCCCAATATTTGCCCACTTTTCAAAATCACGATTAGATGAGCAAGAATATGGTGGTCTATGTGATAATTTCTTACCATAGAGCTACCTACCCCGAGTTGAACTGCACCCTCACCGGCGAAAGAAATACAGATGGTACGAACCTTTCCAACCGGGTTCTTGGACGCGTTCGGCTTGCGCGCGAAGACCGTACATTCCATTACTCAGCGTACCCCGCGTCAAACGTGCATAAACTCGCATGCCCACTCGGTGACCAAAGGACTGTCAAAACTCACATTTTGAAAAACATAATACAGAAATGAATCGTACTAGGTGTGTGCTGTCGACGGTTCCCTCGGACGAACTACGCCGAGCACAGCAACGTGGCCGAAATATAAAGACATTATTACGTAATCTAACTAACTAATGAATAGGCAATTCCGCTCAGGTGGTGTGAAACGTGAAGAATGCTTCACAGCAATAAAGCTTTGGCAGTCGCTCATTCAGTACTCGTTCCCAACTTGTGCTGTTCCTTGTTTCATTTGAAGTTTCCGTACGCCAAGTTCTTTGCATTTTGGGGGGTAATTTTTAAAATTAAGGCCTTCCTACTCGGTGAGAGCTAGTTTTAATCAGTTCCATAATTCAATTCTGCAACGACGAACACACAGGCTATAAACAGCATTACTTCTTTCGATTATTGACTTGGGCGTTACTTTAATCATTCAGGACAGTGGCGCAGCTAGGACTTTCCTTGGGGGAGGGGGCACACAAACGGGGCACCAACATCTCATGTAGGGGCACCAGCTTTCAGTGGTGTGGTTTTTTGGGGCAAGTTTTTGTTAGCCTTGTTCAACATCCATTCATCCGGTTTTTTTTCAGTGTGTGGAAGGAGGGCGCACCTGGGGGCACCCCGAATTTGTGTGTGTGGGGGGGGGGGCGTTTCCCTCAGCCCCCCCCCCCCCGGTGGCTAGGCCACTGATTCAGGATTGTACTAAGTTTTGCCTACTGCTGAGTAGATTATATTTGTCCAGTCCAGTCCTAAAATGCTCCTTTAATTATTGTATTGCTTGTTGAACTGTTTACTGAACTGCTTACCAGGGCCTAAGCTGCATGCGTTTTGCGGCATGTTTATATTTCAAGCAACTACACTGACAAAAACATGTTATCCTAAAACAAACAAAGCATTCATGTCGCTGATAATTACTGGTCGTAAAACGTTTATTTGCTGTGGATAGACCTATGAAAACCTGAAAATTTGGAAAGACTGAAATTGCCCCAAATATCAAAGTCGACCTTGATATTACTTTAAAAATAACTGAACAAAGTCTGACAAATTGATAACATGAGTGGTCTCGATTTCAAAGTGAGATCAAATGTCCTTGGGTAACATTTTCAAACTTTTGGTTCCCTAGTGACCGGCCTCACCTCTCAGAAAAGCCATACAGGTTCCGACATTTTTTGTTTCTCCTCCAAAAGTTCAGTTTCGTGTTCTGGATCCGCCCTTGTATGATCGGAACTGACTTCACAAGGAAGACGGGGCGTTTCAAAACAGTGCACCGCCAGGAGTTCGCAAAGGGGGTGGCCACCGTAAGCCGTGCGCGTTTGAATCACAGACATGGGTTGACGCATTTTGTGAATTGTGATTGGCCACGCATTGCAAACTCTTTAAATCGAAACGACCGTATTCAAACAGATTCGCGCAGATTCATCGAATAGTATGGCATTATGTCCTCTTGAAATGACGTGTAGCCTTGGGGATCTTTTAAGTCCATCTGTCATCCTCTGTCCCAACCCAAAACTAACATGGTGTTTCTGGAGCATTACTTCACTCCCTGCACTTCGGGGCAAGCCAAGGTTGGGGCAAATTTTCCGACGGGGATCCTCCATTCACTACTCTGTCCAGATCAGATTTGAAAAACACCAAATTAACAGTCTTTTTTTTCGAAAATTGCCTAATTAAACTGGATAAGAAATGTACTCAGCAATCATAATGGGAACTTTGATAACGTGATGCACTCAATTACATCTGAACTCGCCAGCTGACCAACAGTGTCACAAATAAAGGCCTAAATTGTGTACAAGGAACCCCATGTTATACAGATAGTTGCAATGCTTAGAAAGGTCATCCTCGCTTCTACACACGTTTCGCTACAAGACCGTACATTCATGTCCAATAGATGCGTGAGATTGTGCAGAAAAGATTCTTGCTTTTTTTTCTTCCGACGGCCAGCCCTAGTTTTACAGCCACTGGCACTTGGCAGTGCAACCATGAAGTGACAGTCCAATTTTATTACACCAACTTTATTTTATAAGTTTGATCTCTATATTTAAGAACAAGAACAATTAGTTGTAACTTGGAGTCTTTGTTTATCACTTTCTAATTGTCTCCTTTGTAAGTGGATATTGCCATGGCGTCAACGGTGTCCATTATGCCTGGAAGCGCTATGCTGTAAAACCGCTCTGTCTGGTACCTGGGGTCATTCTCCACGTACTCCAGGTAGCCAGGGACGCCAGGCCAGAAGCAGTCGTCAGCTATGATAATGGTTCCCTTGTGAAGGAACCCCCCTTTCTCCAACGCCTTCAGGTCGGGCAGGTACGACCACTTGCTGTGGTCCAAAACGACCAAATCCAGCTTGTCCACGGAGTACTCGCTGCGGAGGACTTTGATGACGTCATCTGCTCTTTTATTTACGACGGTGATGACCTGCATGTTCAGACAAATCAGAGTGAACCAACTAAAAATTTTCCAAGCCCAAATCTAGACAGAATTATGAATTGATTTGTGTGAGGGTAAAGTCTATACATGTAGCGTTCTGTCCCTAACCTTTCTTCTCTTGTATATTGTATTTTTGTTTCTTTTTGTTTTCATGTGTTCATTTTTGTTGCCTACTAAAATTAAAATGCACCCCAAGGTTTGACAGTTCTTTATGTACTGATCTCTGCGCCTTCGAGGTTATGTGAATCAGAGTAATCTTTAAAGGGTCCATGAAGTTATTTCTTCTGAGATCCACTTGCGGTATAACCGTAAAATCTTTTTCAGTCTTAATGTGAAAAAAAAAAAGAATGGTGCATGCTTTCTAGGCGTTGGGCTTGGCTATCTCAGATTATAAAGGCCAGCGCTATAGTATTACTACAAAAGGCTGATCTGACCGCCATTCGACAAACTGACCGACTGCTCGACCAATTCCGTCCTGCGAACCAGCCTCCAATTGCCATTTCTTAATGCCAAATGTTATTGCTAATCAGGGGTATAGGTATTAAGTTTAGGAGACCACGCGAGAATGTGTTCTGGTTGAGTGTGAAGTTGTGCTCTGTCCTAGCACTCATATCCTATCCGGTTCGTAAGTGTGCACACGTGCACTGCATTTAGGGTTAGGCCGCGTCCGAAACGGGCTTCCAGAGCTACGGCTAGGTCTATTGTCTACGCGTCTCCACGCATTTCACAATGGAGCGGAGACCTAGACGTAGCTCTAGAGATTCGGATGCAGCCTTACATGCATTGATCTGCGTTTATGTGGAACCGTGGAACCGGAAGTTCACGCGCAATTTCAGCGATTGTCCAATGAGAGCCTGCAAATAGTGGCGCGTCCGCCTTTGTGACGAAGTCGCTTACGAACCAGATTGACACATGAAAACGTACTTCAAGCGTGATCTCCCGCTGAAAAAAAGGTTTAGGCATGTCCCATATTCTGTACCTGTCACGAAATTTCAGTCACTTGGATTGCTACCTAGCTATACCTGTTCGAGACCAGCAAAGCGAATCATCTCCCGGGCCACTTTAGCGGTTTTTGTATATAACTCAGTCGTAATCAGACGGCCTTCTAGGGGGATATGACGAGCCACTGCCATCGCCGACACGCCTACGTAACAACCCATCTCCAAGCAGACTTTGGGGGCTGCCTTTCGAACAACCTCTTCGATCTTCAGCCCTTAATGACAGTTAATGAAATAGTCATCGTCATTGGAAATGGGAGAGAATGAGCTGAAGAGGCAAAATTTGTCATGCGATGTCAGATTCATAAGTCTGCCAAAATAGGTAAATTTAATTGAATGTAACAATTATGAATGCCCCCCAATAAAAGAGCATGCGTTCAATGTCATGTCAAAAGGACCTTCAAAATGACCAAAACTTAGGAAACGGACAGAACCAGACCAGAACCAGAACCAGACCTCCAAAAAAAAAAAAAACTACACAAGACAAAAATACGATCCACTGAACAACTTATATTAACAAACTTTAGTATATTTATAGTGTAGTTTTTTTTTTTTTATGTCCTAAAATGAAACTGACACCAAATCCCACCATTAACATGACATGAATTAAGTCATGTTAAGTGATGTAAAGTAAAACTAGAGAGGACACTTTCACAAAGCCGGTGCTACATTTCCAGCCTTGTGTTTAAGTGGAACCGTGCAGTATCTATAAGAAAAAGCAGTCGTTCACGAAGAAGTATCAAGGTGTTAACCGGTGACGGAGAGATTGACAAGTGGACAAAACTTACTTTTTTCAGGCGCGACAGAAAGAATCACGTCGTGGTCAGTGTAGTACACATCTAAGGCGTCTAGCACGCTGGCTGGATCGCCCTCTGCAGCTGTCTTCTTGACAAAATCGAGAACCCGCTCTTCTACCGTGTTCCAGTACCACAAGTCGCGAAGGAACCGCAGGAAAATAACTCTGGAGAAAAGAATCCAGAGGAATTTCGGGGTACCAATTGCATAGATCTCTCCCAAAAAGCCTGTTACGTCTGCTAGGAGCCCCTGTGGAAGAAACGTCAAAGCGACAGGCGTTGAGCGTACATGAAGATAACGATGACATGAAATACAGACATGTACATGTATTCTTCAAGCGTTGCGGTTAAGCTCTGAAGGCTTCGCTGCACCTGAGAAAATTCAAGGATTTTTAGCAACTTTTCATTGCAACAAACACAGGAAAAGGGCGAAAAACTAACGAGGAATCACGCCAAAGGCTGTTCAAGCAAATTCCTACCAGAAGTGAAGGTTGTGGTGTCCACAGTAATGAAAAAGGCTCAGTTTCATCCACCACGCTGTCACTAAGATTTCAAACACAACATACCTGTACTCCTTAAGCGCAAAGAAAGTCTCATCGTGTAAGTTTCTTTTATTTGCAATTTAAAATTTCTTTATATTTCTATCAAACCTACCATACTGAGCGATGTTTCGCTGACGGTAGACGCCGATTACTTCTCAGGACGTGAAATGACTATTATCGGCTGCACTGAACGAAAATGCCACACCAAACTGATGGAGCCTTGAAGGAGAAATCGATTCATGTGAAACAAACACCCATTATTGACCTTTGAGTCTTAGTTAATGTAGACAGAAATGGAAGTCATCAGCGCGTCTATAGTTACCCTTTTGGGGAGTTCGTTAAACTCTGTTGCAAAAGTCGGTGGGTGAAACTTACTCTTTTCGGGCGCGAAAGAAAGTATCGCTTCGTGGTTAGTGCAGTACACGACTAAGGCATCCAGCACGCTGGCTGGAATCGCCCTCTTTGCCTGTCCTTTTGACAAAATCGACGGAGAACCCGCTCTTGCACTGTGTTCCAACACCACAAGGTGCGCAGGAACTGTGGCAAAGCAATTCGCGTGAAAGCAATCCAGAAAAAAACTTAAAATATTTTAACACATAAAACATTTTTACAAAGCCTTTCACGTCTGCTAGGAGCCCCTGTAGCAGGGAAAACAAAACGAGCGGAGTTCATTGTGGGCCTATTTCAATAGATAGAAATATTGCATTCTTCGAGCAGTGCATTTCTGCTCGATGACGTGCTTCCTTTACAAGATGCCCCATCGCACTGAACGCTCCTGACCAACATTATTCTTTTCAACCAAAGAGGGGTACTCTTTCTAAAAGTGGGTAGCCTGTATACTCAGAATACGCGGAAAATGTCTCAGGAAAATGAACGAAGTACCGTTCCCTGGAAGTACCATCTGGTTTGTTCAGATATAGGTATTTTCAAGACACGATGACGTCATTATTATATTCAGAAAAGATGAGAAAAATCCCACGTTTTGTACCACTTTAGCACAGGCGGTGTTTTTTATGCTTTATGTTTATGTTCAGGGCTAATTGCAAAAACAAGATGATAAGAGGACCTCCTTTGATGTGCAGGGGTGGCATACCATGGGCATACATAGTGTGGACCTCTGCACAAAAGCAGTCCACATAATTTAGGGTGCGATGGCGTTGTGTGAACCTGCGGATTATCATTAATTAAGGGGCCACGCACGTACTGATAGCGTGAAGAACGTAGTTAGGCTACGTGATTACAAACCGAGGCGTACCTATGAACTATGGAGTTGCCCACTACATCTGCCACCCCCACCACCAAAGGAAGTCGTCCCCTGTTGAAAAAAAGGAGACCTTAATAAAGCATTGATGTTTCTGTGGTCCTTCAAAACCTATGATAAACCCCGTCATTTCATTGATGAGGTCTGAAAGGGGGGGGGACCTTCCTGGCCGTGAGAAGATCTTAAAAGGCCAAGTTTAGCTTTACAGGATTTTTTTCAAAACTTCTAACAAGGAAGTCTGAACCCAGACTCAGTTTGGACAAGCAACTGTACAGTGTCAATTGACACAGTTTCACAACATCACAACAGCTCCTCAGGTCAAACACTCAGTTTAATCATTGCATTGATCGGCGATTCGATTGTCGGATCGTTGTGTGGCAGATGAAGGTGGAGGTCCGGTCTGGTCCAATCCGGTCCGGTGCGGTGCCGTCCAATAGCCCTCCTTTCATTATTGAATTGCTCTTTGGATACTCACTGAATTGTTCATATTGTGCCTATATTGCACATACAATGCATTCCGTGCAACTCCACTGACAAAAGGTTTATGAAAAGAAAAACCAAATACACACACAAACAAAACATTGTGATAGCCGACAATTACTCGTCAGAAAAGGTTTATTTACTCTGGGTAGACCTTGAAAACCTGAGAAGTTTGACACATTGCCCGAAATATCAGAGTCCTCTTCGATAAAAGAAGACTGTTGTGCGGGGACAAGCCTCTCGCCACCTGTGATCAACATAGCATGGAACTTGTTAAAAAAATTGATAGAGGATAAAAGTCTGAAAGATTGATGACATAAGTGGCCCCAATTTCGAAGTCTAAATTGATAATGTGTTAATTTAGCTTGTATTATCAAGACATAGCATGCGATGGGGCATTTCACAAGCGGGGCAGGTTAAAATTGGTGTACAGGCTGCTGATTCACCCCGTGGTTTCCTGTGAAATTATTTCTTTAGTTGAAAGAAAAACCAAACAATATAACTGTCCTCACTCAGCGGTAAAGGGTGCACCATTTGCTTCGGCGCGCGAAGGGCTCGAAGACCTTTTTTGAAAATCACTAAAAGTGCTGCCTATGAATTTCAAGGTTTGTCGCACGTTGAAGCCTCGAACAGAGGTAGACATTGGTTTTCAAAATGGCAATGCTCCTCAGAAGTACTTCGCAGGGGGGTCTTTTGGTTGATTTTTGTTCCACAAGTCATCAGTTTTCCGGGTCGAAAATTACACAGAAAATGAAAGATAATTTTGCAACGTTTAGCAAACCTAATTCGTCTTTCCAACAACTTGGAGAGAAGTAGATTTGTCCCTGATTTTCTGAAGTGGGCGTATTTGTCAAGATTACCTTTGGCAGTTGATCGTGACCCCGCACTATGCATGGTCTCCGCTCTTGTTCTTGAACCTTAAAGTTCTATGTCTAAGGTTAATTGTTTTCAAACAAGATAAGAAAACTTCTCTCCTTGAACCTACCGATTATCACTCAAGGGTTAATACACTGACGGCATGAAGAATTTTGTGCGGTTATGTGGTCACAAAATAGTCATACACAGTGGCGTATCCATGGGCGGCGTGGAAGTGCCCTAATGCCCCCTTGGTCACCCCTAGCTGTATCAAAACTGTGACAATCCGGGAAATAACAAAATCACCGAAGTAAAATTTTGCCCCACGTGTTGGTCAAATCTTACGACATGTTTTTGGTTATGTGGTGTGGCATTTTCAGACATTGTCTGCGTCGCCCGTTCAAGTGTTTGGCACGGATAATACGTTTAAGAATTCTTGAAAGGCTTAACAGTTACAAAATAGAAAAGAAAAACCAAAACACGGTGAAGATCGGCCTAAGTTGGGACAAAATTTACAATGGAGATTCCGCATTCGGCACTTTTCCATTTTCGATTGAAAAACACAAAATAAACAGTCTGTTTTCTGGATCGAAATAAATTCTTCGCTATCATAATACGACATGCGCGAGCTCTGATATATCCATTAGACTCCACTGCATTTGAGGTCGATAGTACAGTGGCCAACGGTATCATAAAAGTGAACATTATCTTTTGTTTACAACGAAAGCCACATGAACAATCGAAATCTGCTGCAATATATCTATGCGGTTGGAAATCATTTAAAGGAAGATAAAGGACGGACAGAACCCCCCCGCCTTAGGAATTCTTTACAGACTTCTAGGGGGGATGTGTTGTGTAACAACAGTCTAGAGTGTGTATAGGGATTGGTCAGGTAAGGGGGTACCCCTCCGTCCAATATCTTGCCTGGTATATCGCAAAGAGCTTTTGCTCCAAACGGTACATTTTGCCGCACATGCGCATTATTCGTTTAGTATATTTCTATTTCTTTTTTAATCCTTTAATTGCTTATAAGAGCCATCCGCTGTAACCTCAAGTTATGGTTATCACTAATTGCTAGTCATAATCATCTCCCTTGTAAGTAGATATTGCTATGGCGTCGGGTGCGTCGAATAAGCCCGGAAGCGCTATGCTGTAAAATCGTTCCGTCTGGTACCTGGGATCATTCTCCACATAGTTCAGGTAGTCTGGGGCGCAAGGCCACAGGCAGTCGTCAGCTATTATAACCGTTCCCTTGCGAAGGAGTCGCTCCTTTTCCAACTCCTTGATGTCGGTCTTGTACAACCACTTGCTGTGGTCCAAAACGACCAAATCCAGCTTGTCCACGGAGTACTCGCTGCGGAGGACTTTGATGACGTCATCTGCTCTTCCGTTTACGACAGTGATGACCTGCATTATTTATTTACAGATTAAATACTGAATCAGAATGAGAGGCCAAATGTAGAAATTCATGTATGCTGAGGCTTAGTCTAAATAGCGTTCGGTGCCAAACCTTTCTTACATTGTAAATTGTAGGTTGCTCCATCTTGTTTGTCAATGATCTTAATGCAGCTGAGATCTTGGGGGAGGGGGCAGAGTCCCCGGCTGTGAAATGATCTTCTTAAAGGGTTGAGGGCCCATGCGATTAATCTGTCTTAGATGCACTTTCAATACAATGTCACATATTCACATACATTTATTTAATATAATATGACAATATAAAACAGTAAATGATGCTACGATCTCACAGCGTTGAGTTTGGTCAGATATTTCTCAATACGATTATGATGAAGCCAAGCACTGGATTATTGGCCCAATGTCTGACCTGAAAATCGTCAGACTACCTGACAAAATCCGCCCTGCCTTGCAATCAATCCTCCTCTTGCCACATTTGTATCTAAAATATTGTCCTGACCAAGAAGTAGGTACATTTGTGATATCACGTGCGATTGTGTCCTGGTTGAAAGGGGTTCGTGGTTCTGTAGACTAGCGTACCTTGTCTACACACATAACGTCCTTTAACCTCGATCCCCTCTGGCTAAAAGGTTTTGATGTGTCTGACGCAGTACCTTTCAGAATCTTTCAAACTGGATCGCCTTTTTTGTGGACGTTGGTCATACAACCTATGTACCTTATCAAGACCAGCAAAGCGAACCATTTCTCGGGCCACTTCGGCGTACTTCGCGTCAATCTCCGCCGTGATCAGACGGCCTCCGGGTGGGATATGTCTAGCTACTGCCATTGCCGACACACCGACGTAGCAACCTAACTCGAAGCAGACTTTGGGAGCCGCTTTCCGCACAACCTGCTCCATCTTTAGCCCTAAAAACGCGCAGGAAATGAAACAGTACAAGTCAGCGAAGGGGAAGATCGACTGCTCCAGAGGTTGTGGATGTAGAGGTCCATTGCTTGATAGCAGATAAATAAGAGTCTGTTTCACTGGGTAGATTTGAATATAAGAAATTGAACTAAGAGATGGACAATATCTCTTCATGCGTTCAGTATCATTTCATAAGAAGGAACATCAACTCAATCCAAACGTCTAAACCCGACAGAGCCCCTATACACTAAATCGAACGAAAAGCAACCCCAGACCCTTATTAGTCAGTGTTAACTAATTGTAATGTTTGCCGTCTGGATTTTTCACCCTTAATCCTGAAACTCATACCCAAATCCAACTATTAATATGACCAAGTATACTTCTTAAAAGGTGGTGTTTAAAAAACACCGTGCACTGCAAAACCTGTGGTGTTAGAATCAAAACTTTTTAGTGATATCAGATGATCACACAATAGGGTGTTACTGCAACACCGCTGGTGTTACTTGGAACACCTATAAGCGTGACAGTACACTGGAGGGTGTTAAAGGTAGCACCAAATAATACCAAAATTTTAACAACAGTGAAAAATGTTGGTGTAGTGGTCTGATAATACCGGGGTTGTTAAATTTAACACCCCCTTTTTGCAGTTTGGAGTTAAATAAAAATCCCTGTTGTGAAGTTGGAACCACAGGAATATTCTTCCAAATATGCCAATACTGAATTACATTGCTAGAGACATGAAGCATTGCAACGGAAGAGCAGTTGTTCACTATAAGGTGACAACATGTTCATTTCTTTGCCACCAGCCATGCAAGGATCGAGCTGATGACAAGTGAGCGAAACTTACTTTTTTCAGGTAAGACAGCTATTGTCACCTCGTGGTCCGTGTAATATGCATCTATGGCAGCTATCACGCTGGCCGGATCGCCCTCTCTTGCCGTCTTTTTAACGAAATCAAGCACCCGCTCTCCGGTCGTGTTCCCATACCAAAAGCGGCGCCAAACGTATTGGAAAAGAACCCGGGTGAAAAGAATCCAGAAGAACTTTGGGCTGCCGTTCACATAGATCGTTTCCAAGACGCCTTTCAAGTCTAGGAACCCCTTTGGAAGAAAACACAAGGCAACAGGAGTTGAGAGTACATAACATGAAGATAACGAAGACATGAAATAGAAATATATGCTGTTTATAAAGCTACCCATCTGAGATGCTCCGTCGCAGTATCCCCTCCAATTAAGCAACAAAATTCAAATCAAATGTTGTGTACACCACCCGTATATGGGTACCTGCACAGTCGCAAATGCATTCATGCCACTCAGGAGTCTCTACATGAGAAGGGTGCGACGAGGTCCTTGTAGGGTGCTTCATAAGGAGCCGGCCACAACGATTTAACGAAGAAAGATTATTGAAATTTACATGAAAAGGAGGAACTTGAAATGTGTACTTGTTGGTCGCAAAGTGGAGGTTTATTTTAATATAAAGGACATTTGGTCGAAATTAAAACCAAGTTCCAAAGGGAGCCATTTGAAAACGGTACTTCATACATTACATCACACTGGTCATACACATCTTTGGATGACAGTTTTTTAACTAGTGTATGTCCAAGACAGCCCATATACAAACTTTATTGTTTCTCTGTTTGAAGATTTAAAATGAAAAATGAAAAATTTCTCTTTAAGTACACGAGAATAAAAGGAATGCTTCCCAGAGAACCATGTGTGTGTATCAACCGCGTTTAACACCGAGAGGCAGATGTTAAGACTGACTGGAGCCTTTTGTGTATTCCATAATTTTCTTGCGCTCTGTTTCTCAATTTATTCTGTGGGAAACTTACGTGATTGTAAGCTTCCAGAAACTTAGCGTTATACAGTACCGTAATTTGTGGAACTGGTGAAACATCCGTATAAATGCAAAAATGACCACGGGACGACACGACAAGCACTGAACAGTGAAGCTCAGTCTGTACCCAGTGCGTCAAGACTGACGACACGCGATCCACTGTTAACTTGTTTGTGTGAACCGGGCCAAGATTCCGGTATTAAGGGGTGTCCTGTGCCCCCGTATTTTCCCGAAAGGAGTCAGCTTGTATTCCGCTAATTCGTCTATGTTGTTCGTTAAGAAATGATTTTTTCCTACTTACAATTTTGATTTTTTTTAATTTTCTATCAAACCTACCATATTGAGCACTGTTTCGCTGACGGCAGACGACAATTTCTTCTCGGGACATGAAATGACTGTTGCACGAAATACCACACCGAAGCGACGGAGCGTTGAAGGACAAAATCATTCACGCGTCGAACAGTCATTACTGACCTTTGAGTCTTGGCTCGTGTAGACAGAAATGGAAATCATTATCGCCGCGTCTATATTTACCCTTCTGCGGAGTTCGTTAAACTCAGTTGCAAAGCTCGGTGCCTCACAACCACCCTCACAAGAAATCGTCGCTGTGCCATTGAATAAAAAAGTCTTTAAAGACAAAGTATGGCTATATCTGTGGTCTTCTTAAGCCTCAAATAAACCTGTCTTTCTACTGCTGAGGTCGGGGGGGGGATACCTTCCCGGAGGTGAGATCATGAAGTGGTTTTTGGAAACTGACATTGGGAATTGAGCTCATTAATGATCTGTGATGAAGTTATAGTAATCGGAAATTTTCGTGATGTAAGTGTTAAAACAGCTGGGAAAACATTTCCTGCACTCCATTGCATTTGGACTCGAAAGAGACCAATAAGGAGCGTCGATAATACAAGAACTTTCCTTTGTTTTTATTGACAGCCACTTTTTTTTATGGGCGACCAAGGTTTGATGAAAGTTATCCTAATTTGGCTGCAGCTTTTTCCTCAAGTTGCACATTTTACTCTTAACGCATTTTCATGGTATGTGCAAGCCAACTATAGTTGGTATTGATTGATTACTTAGATAGCTGCGTGATTATCTTGTATGTTTTTTGCCCTAAAGGTCTGTCATGGTTTGCCATCCACTGGATAGTGTATATTGACAGATTTTAAAACTTTTGCCAACCGGATCGTTTTATCCTTATTGTCAAAACGTACTTCTAATTTAATTAACACCGAGTTAAGTTAACCTTAATGTAAAGTCCAAACACGGAATATAGTTCCAAATAGGTGACGGTCAGTGCTAAATTTGCCCTTAGTAGTTTATTGGAACCGTACAGCTTCTACTAGAGAGAACAGTCGTTCCTTAAAAGGTAAATTTTTTGCCATCAGCAATGAATGCAGCGAGGAGACATGGTCGACAAGTGGGTGAAACTTACTCTTTTCGGGCGCGAAAGAAAGTATCGCTTCGTGGTCAGTGTAGTACACATCTAAGGCGTCTAGCACGCTGGCTGGATCGCCCTCTTTGGCCGTCTTTTTGACAAAATGAAGAACACGCTCTTGCACTGTGTTCCAGAACCACAAGGTGCGCAGGAACTGCGGCAAAGCGATTCGCGTGAGAGCAATCCAGAAAAACCTAGGGCTGCCGACTTCATAAAACATTTTGACAAAGCCTTTCACGTCTGCTAGGAGCCCCTGTAGGACAAACAGAGTTTATTGGATTTGAAGATTAACGATGAAAACAAAGTACAAATAATGTGTTCTTCGAGCCGTGCAGTTCTGCCAGATGAGGTGCCTTTCTGAGATGCCCCATTACAGCAGTTGGTCCATTTTACAAAATTCGGATAAAACGGAAAAAAGGCGGGGAAATGCTAAAGGGTACGGTATTGCGGCTCAAGTGAAATTAATAAACTACAGATGTCTGGTTCAATTCCAACAACAAAGGCCTAGCTTAAAGCGCCATCAGCACGTTTGAAATAACGAATACAAGTTGTCCTTTGACACACTGATAGCATCAGCATGTTATTGTTGGACACTGAATATTATTTTTTTTTCTCATTCACCATTTAACGTACCATTCTGAACACAGTGTTAAGCTGAATTTGGATTCCAAACTTGTTGTCGCTACCCTCTCAGGATCTGAAATATGTATAAAATGGCTGCACTGAACGAAAACGTTACATGAAAAGCAATCAAACCTTGGATGACAAATTGGTCCACACCTTAAACACTCATGGCTGACCTTTGAGTCTCGGTGCACAGATCGAGACGCCGCTTGCTTTGCTTGGCATTTAAATGAATGTAAATGAATTTAACTTCTTGATCCTGCTGATGGGTACGGTGGCTCTAAAGGGACATCGCCAGTTGTCAATATTGACGTCGATGGCGATCGCGCATATTGTCGAGATTTTCTCCAGACTGCAAGCCAGGAAGACCATATGCGCGCCGATGTCATGTGATGTGCGAATATGAGGAAGTGTCAGGATTTATAAGCTGGATCCGTCACAAAATCACAAACCGACAGGCTTCCCGATCAACACCGCTGTGTCTTACAAAACAATCCCCCTTGTGCCTTGTGTTATGGTTCCAAGTGAGGTTTTTGTTTTGTTCATTCTTAGTTATCTAAACACAAAACGCGCTTCTGTTTTGGAGAATGCCAAACATTCTACACCTTTCAGAAAACCTTAGAGGCTTGGTTAGCTGTCGTTGTTTGTTAAAGCTGTATACCTTTTGAAGATCAAAAAAGCGAACCATCTCGTAGGCCGCTTTGACGATTGTAGTATCTATCTCTGTCGTTATCAGACAAAGTCCAAGAGAGCATAACTAGCTACTGCAACCACCAACACACCCACGCAACAACCCATCTCCAAGCAGACTTTTGGGCCCACTTTCCACGCAACTCGTCATTTTTTGTCCTTGAAAAATATGGGCAGTTCATGAATCAGGAAACAAGAGGGGAGAGTGAGTGCAGATTCATAAAAGCCTGTTACATTGGGTAGATTTTGAATGAACAGTAACAAAGAGATTGCGATATCGCTGCAAGAAAAGGACCAACAACTCAATCAAAACTTGTGAACTGCGGGCAGAGACAGCCTTTGAAACTACTTCGACACAACAATTTTCTTTGTCCCTTTATTTACGAACAGAAACACAATTACGAAGTTTGTTTGTCAACAATGGACATCCGGACTGTTTGATCTTAGTGCTATAATTTTAAAACCACAAATAGAGACAATACATTTTTTGTTGGCCCTTTATTAATCAATATATGCATAGAAATACAAGTAATTTTGTGTAAGATCTATTACTGATCCAGCAAAAAAGATTCATAACTTGCAGATAACATTTATCCAAAGGTAAAATTATAATCTTTTCTACGTGTATGCGTAACTCTTCATAGAGTCCACAGATTGAACAAATTCTCAAACTGAGACATTTCAAATTACCAGAAATGAAATTCGATGAAAACCACACTGGAATGACTGACAAGAAGATTTACACTAATTGCCACAAGGGGCGAATTTGCTCAAATCGGAATAAATCAGAATGCTAGAAATTGAAATGTACTGATCGCTTTTTGAAATTGAAGATTGAAGATAAGTATTATTATCGGAAATTTATGTTAATAGAACAAGAAAACCTACTTTTGTGTATTCCGGTACATCTGAACTCGAAAGAGACCAATCACGAGACCTATCTTTTTATTGTTTACATTGACCGTCACTTTTTTATCACTGGTGGGCGACAAAGGTTTGATGAAAGTTGATATTCTAATTTGGCTACACCTTTTTCCTTATATTGCCCATTTTGCTCTAGACGCATTTTCATAGTATGTGGGCGAATTAGGTGGTATTAATTTATTATTTAGTGTTTCAAAAATTTCGTTATTACTTTGAAAATGATTATTTTTTACTCGGAGAGCCTGTCATGGTTTGCCAATCAAATTAACTGCGACTCCAACATGGTAAATTAATTTTCTGGTTTATGGGTGCACCCACGCAAGAAGGCCCAAAATATGTCCGCCGAACTCATTAGAAAAAGGTATACCCTCCCAAATACTCTATGTTAGAGATTCCTGAGATCCATGAAATTGAGGAATCGGAGAAAATATGGCACTGAAGCTCTGGCTTGGACTTTGCGCTTCCAGTTTGGCCGTTTTGCGGAGGGATAGTTTTTCAAAATGGCTACTTTTCTGGGGAGGGGCATTTTCTTCATTTTAGGGGTGGTCTGCTTCTGGTGAAAATTTTTTCGAAAACTCATTGGTCAATCCCCCGAAAAAAATGAAAGGAAATAGAAGGGGACGTGTCGATCATCGTTTTTCTGTGCTGCCTGGACACCTGTGAGAGTTGTGAGTATTTTAAAAATAATTGTGAAGTATGGGGATTTATTATTGCAGTCTATGGGAATTTATTTGTTGTGGTGCACCCTTGGGTAAGTTTAGAGTCGAGTTAAAAGATGACATCATTGTTAGTTATGTATTAGTGCAGAGAATGCGCGAGATCACTGTATTGGTACCCGTGTATAAAATGCTTGGGATCTCTTCGGGGCTCGTTATCATTCTTTTTAAAAAAATCGCAAAAATAAATCACATCGCGATATGTTTTCAACTGTGTCGTGAAAATGATGTTTTCAAGTTAACATTTATACAAAATGTCAATGAAAAAAATTGGAAAAAGTTTGAGTGCATGGCCTATGTACTACATTCTACAGCGCCCGTCCATGACAGAACGGAAAATTTATAGCGCGGCACTACAGCATGCGTTGCTGATCTATTTATGCTGCATCTGGATCTGTTGTTTAGACCTAGGTCCAGATCTTTGCTCTACGCAGAGACGCCGAGAAATTAGACCTACTACACTTGAATTTGACTGTAAGTGTAACCAACATACAAACCTTCTTGGTTATATGAGCTAGCTAAAATGCACTGCCAAATTTCAATCTTCCTTGGTAACAAGTGTCACATTTTTCTCTATACACATTATTCAATACCGGCGATGCACAATAGTGCGCCACCAAGATTTTGCAACGCGGTGACCTCTCTCAACGAGCGAAATCTGTCGGCCCTTTCCAAAAGCGCATTGGGTCGGCAGATTTTGCACACTGTGATTGGCCAACGCGTTACAAACTCTGGGTGGCGCACTATTGTGCATCGCCGGTATTTTTACTGTGAAACGGTCGTATTAGTATGATTTTTTTGTAAATTATTACTTGTATTATGCTGACAGCTAGCCATGATTTGCCAACCAAACTGCGACTGTGACATAGTAAAACAATGTTTATTACACCAACTGTGACTAATCGTCAGGTTTTGATTAAAAACACTCAGTTGTAACCTCAGTATTAAGTTTTATTACTGTTTCTAATTATTATCGCCTCCCTTGTAAGTGGATATTGCAATGGCGTCAGGTATGTCGAACACCCCCGGAAACGACACACTGTAAAACCGCTCTGTCTGGTACCTGGGGTCATTCTCCACGTACTCCAGGTAGCCAGGGACGCAAGGCCAGAAACAGTCGTCAGCTATGATAACGGTTCCCTTGTGAAGGAACCCCCCTTTCTCCAACGCCTTGAGGTCGGGCAGGTACGACCACTTCCGGTGGTCCAGAACGACCAAATCCAGCTTGTCCACGGAGTACTCGCTGCGGAGGACTTTGATGACGTCTTCAGCTCTTTCATTTACGACGGTGATGACCTGCATATTCAGACATAATATAACGAATCACTCTCCAAACGAAATTAAGATCAAATTTCATGCTCGATGATATAATTGTCACGCACCTGAAGTTTAGTGTACGTGACGTTTAGCCTTCGAGGTTACATTGTGTTCACTCTTACCGTTATCAACACACAAAGCATACTTCAAGGGCAATCTCGAGTGAAGAAAAAGTTACATTCCATACTTTTCAGGAAACCTCAGACTCTTGGTTTGCCGTTATTGGTTATACACCTGTACCTGATCGAGACCAGCAAAGCTAAACAACTCCCGGGCCGCTTTGGCGGTTAAAGTGTCTATCTCCGTCGTGATCAGGCGGCCTCCGGGAGGGATATGACGAGCCACTGCCATCGCAGACACACCCACGAAACAACCCATCTCCAAGCAGACTTTGGGGGCTGCCTTCCGCGCAACCTCTTCTATCTTTCGTCCTAGACAATGGCAGTTAATGACACAGCAGTAAACTTAAGCTATATAAAGGTGAGGACAAGGGATGCAGAGGATAAGAGCACAGTGCGTGATATCAGAATCGAGTCAGAAGGGTCTATCATAATTTGAGTAGATGTAACCAACTGTTAATATCACCTATGTTAAGGATTTGTAAAGATATTAGTAATTTAACGTTTCCTAAACGATTAAGCAAGTTAAGTGGGGGCCAGACATCACCCTCGCTTCACTTCCTTCAAGCTTTTGTTAAAGTAGACAGTTTGTTTGTGCGCCGAGGTCCGACTACAGTCCTGACCAGAATGGACATCGGAATTTCTGCCGGGCTTCAAAGCGGAGGAATTTCGTCCCTCATCGGATTCTGGATTTCATTTTGCTGGGGCGTGGACAAGGCACAGGTGATACCAAGTCACCAGTGCCAGGCTTCCCATTCCAGGCTACACTGTACCTAGTGCCGTCTGGGTTGTGCCGGGTTTTTATCAGGTCACCGCCAGCGCCATGCCCTATCGGCCGCACCCGGTCCACTGGCCAGCTAGCCATTTCCCATTCCCCGGGGAATATTTGTCACTGGCCAACCTTTGTCCACTCATTATATCCAAGCGTTGGCTACCAGAGGTCGTGATTCGAGATTGTTCGATCAAGACCAAAAGTTCTCGCGGCTTCTGCATTTTCATCCCCTAGTGAACTCAAGATTAGGATTCTATAGAGGACCGAAGCGAATACGTCACGCACACAATTAGTGTGTAAAAGGCATTAGCGAGAGAGTGGGCGCGTGAACCAACACGCGCGCGTACTCCATTCGTTTGCACTGAACTTTCTAGTTCACAGTGACGTCACATTTCGGTACTCTATACATGGATGATTTTATAAAAAGGTGGCGTGCTAAGTTTCCATGAAACGTGCAGCATCACCGTGACCAGTAATGTGTGGTGAAGTAGTCCTCGTTGTCAAGTGGGCGAGACTTACTTTTTTCGGGCATAACAGCCATCATGACCTCATAGTTCAAGTGGTACTCCTCTAAGGCGTCTAGCACGCTGCCAGGATTGCCCTCTTTGGCCGTCTTCTTGACGAAATCCAAGGCCCGATATTCGATCGACTTTCCGTGCCACAAGGTGCGCCAAAAGTATGGAAAAATTATTCGGGTGAAAGTAATCCAGAAGAACTTTGGGCTTCCGATTTCGTAGATCAATTCCAAAAAACCTTTCACGTCTGCTAGGAACCCCTGTGGCAGAAAGATAAACATAGCGATGGGACTTGAGTGTAGGTCTACACGAAGATACTAATTCTCCAAGCGGTACATGCAGTTCTGCTCGACTAAATGGGTTCCCTTCCGACAACCTCCATTGCAGGGCCCCCTTCCATTGTTATCAAAATAGCACAGAATTAGAAAATGACAAAACCTCATAAGGTGGTATGCATAGCACAACGCAACCGAAAACCCAAATTGGTTTCCGGGTCAATATCAATAAAAAAATGGTTGAGTTTGAATCGCAGCACGTTCGACATAACGAATGCCGCAGGTCTACTCCTTTTACGCGTAAGAAGTCTAATCTTCTTGTTTACTTTCACTCAGGATAAACGCTACTTCATTTTTACTAACCTACCATATTGAGCACGGTGTTTCGCTGACTGCGTTCTGCGTTCAAATCTTCGCAGCACATGAACTGTCTGTTCACTGACTGCACAGAGCAAAAATGTAACACTAATTTGTAGCATCCATGCTCTATTGACCTTTGAGTCTTGATACATAGATAAAGCAACTTCATGACTAAGCTTCTGTTAAGTTTTAATTTTAATTTTTAGTTTGATTTTACTGCTTCTGTTAAAGTGTCCAACCGTGTAAGGCTAGGCATTCTTTTTATTTCTGTATTGAATAATTAATTTACATTGTAAATAGTCAAATGACATTTAAAAAGACTGATCGGATTGTTTTGATGAGTCAACGATAATCCCTTACCCACAGCTGAGAGACTGAGAGCCAGTCTAGTATATCCCGACAAACGGGTGAAACTCTTCCATAGTTAAACCACGATGGCCAACACCCAGACTGTAGTTACATTTAGTCAAGATTTCGTGCCTCTCAGAATTCTAACCAATGAGACACAACAGTCGTCCAAATTATTCTGAAATATTGCTCTATAAACTCCTCACCACAACGTTTACCCAAACACGACCACGCATTTAGGCCACATAAAAAAATAATTAGTTTAGCATCAGCGCCCGCCTCAAAAAATCTTGCCGCGTGACTTTTCCTTTTAAAAGTTGTCTTTTTCTGATGTCCTGAACTGTCCCCCGTAGTTTCTACAACGCCCACACAACCTCATGCACGCACATGCGACCTGAGTACATACACACGTCATGTGCAATTCAGTGGACAAGTCTGAAGTGAACATGGCGCTTTCGTTCCGTGTTTGCAGCATTCCAGATCAGCATGCATTCCGAAGTATTAAAACAAAAACTCCTCCCTCATCGTTTTTGCAAACACAACTGATACTGAACAATTTTTTTAATGGTCTTATAGTTCCTTGGTATCAGCTCATCTGTCCATGAGGTGAGTTGAGTGTGAAGGCCCCCGAGAAAGGCGTCGTCTCGGATTTGTCAACGCGCACGAAGCCCTTGGCTGATGAGTCCAGGTTGGCACTCATCGATCAAATCTCGCTCGCGCGTCAAAATGACCTCGGACGCACTTCATTTGGGGCATGACATCGCGACCGCAGGTAATTTCAACGGCTTTGAAAGGTCATCGTCACTGTGACAGTAATTATTTTATGAACACCTGTGTTTTTACTGAAAACAAGGACACCCAATGTCAATTTCTTCTTTTACAGGTTTTAATCTTAAAATATAATCTATGCCTGAAATCTCATATGATACAAATTGAGCAGTGAATTCAAACTTGCATTTGAAAAATTAAAAAAAAAATCACAACATTGATTCCGTCACCAACGAGGCAGTTCGATATGTTAAAAAGACCAAGGTCATCTTAGAACACAGCATAGTCGGGGTATGGGCGCGCTGATAGGGCACTGTCCTTGCTCGGGGTATCTCTGTTCCAGAATGACCTCAGACATGCTTCATTCAGAGCATGCGCAGTTGGATTATCGAACTGGCTCACTGAACACCATGTGACTGTTTACACATCCATTCAAAATCGAACGCCAAAGGTAAAGTTAGCATACGTGAGGAATTTACAATACACAACTTACAAAGAAAATTTGCTAATTTAATTCCAGCTTGCCAACTTACTTGGCAACCAAATTTGTGCTAAGTTCGCATTTGATATTTTTAATCGCGTAATAAAGGGCGATGGATATAACTTACGATATTAGTTAAACTGAAAAAAAGTTGAATCCAGAAAGTTGACTTCTAGTAAAAATGAAACTCAAAGCTTCCTCCCGCCCACGCATAGGAGGGCTGGAGCACTATACACGGCACAGGGCCGGGCTGCAACATACACCGTGCATGGACGCCTTGTGCCACATTCCTCAAGCGCACGCGTCAAGGGGAAATGCCGTTTTAAATGCACGCACGTCAGACTTTGTAACACGTTTTGGTTGGCTATTCAGAATGACTCAGATCGATTTTCAAAACTGCAAGGTCATTACTAGACCGAGGGCATTATTAAGTACAGCGTGCGCGCGAGTACGTCCTCGTAGGTCCGCCCGTTCAAAGAGTACCGAAGTGTGACGTCACTGTGAACCAGAAAGTACAGTGCAACCGAATGGAGTACGCGCGCGGGTTGGTTCACGTGCTGGTTCTCGCCGTAATGCCTTTTACACGGTACATTGTGTGCGTTACGGATTCACTTCGGTATTCTATCCGTTTCGTAAGTGTGACGTCACTTCGGTTTAAACCACGCCCATTGCACATGCACTGCACATACAGTTACATGCAATGATCGCCATTAACGTGGAACCATGGAACCGGAAGTTAACGCGCAACTTCAGCGATTGTCAAATGAGAGCTTGTAAGTCGTGGCGCGTCCGCCATTGTGACGAAGTCACTTACAAATCGGATCCGGTTTGTAAGCGTGACTTCAGTTTAAACCACGCCCATTGCACATGCACTGGGCACAGTTACATGCATTGATCGCCGTTAACATGGACCGGAAGTTAACGCACAACTTGAGCGATCGTCTAACATACAAATCGGGGCGCGTCCGCCTCTGTAACGAAATCACTTACGAACCAGATAGGGCAGAACTCACGCGCGCGTCAATGTGGGCATGCGCTATTGGAATACCGAACTCGCTCATCGGGGTTGGTCCAAACAAATCTTAGGGTGTGGCTCGAAGGGAACGCCAACTACCTACCGGCTGAAAATCACTGGAAAGGGTCAGTGCCACCCCTGGTACACGTAGTCACAACTTGATCAAAAGTACAGTACACTTAAAATATCGGAACAAGAAAAAGGAAACTTCGAAAAGTTTCTCCTTGGCAAATTGGATACAACTTTTATCAATAACACCCTGGAATTAAAATTTCATTTATTGCCGTGCTGCATATTTCCGTATCACGAATTTCCTGGTATCAAGAGTTTCGTGACATGAATGTAGCATACAAATCATGTTTGAAAAAAGTGTAACATTGATCCTGTAGATGGGAATATACATAAAGGCTACTATTTACAAGCTTGTCATAAAAATGTGAATGTAAAATATTGACGATTGAAATATAGTAAAATACCAGTTATTTATTTATTACAAAAGAGGGAAAACAGATGTGGTTTTGGAAATCTACTAGGGAGTATATTAGTATATGTAGCCACAGTGGGAAATATTTGTTCCATTTTCTCCACTGAGTCTAATATTTATGACAGAAAATACATTTACTACCTGTTATTAAACAGAAGACGAGTGGGTTTGGTATTAAGACATTTTAAACAATAAGAGACACAGTACGTGTAATGAAGCAGCGGGGACCATTCTTGTCGTCGGTGATAATCCATAGTTCAAAGTTGTCAATTTCAAGAGCCCCACCTCTTTTGGTCGGCACCGCCCCCTCTGTAACAAATTCAGTCTACTCTCACAGAATCACACAAAAAATTGTTGCAGAAGGGTATCGCTTTACTCACCCCGACCGAGAATTCTAAATTGGGTCCAATCGTGGATGTCTAGACTGGTCTTGGTGCCCGACTGAGACACAAGACGGGCGGGAAGAGGTCATTTTTTAAGGTCAGAATTTCATCCCTCTGAGATTGACCCCATTCATACGTAGCTTACAAAATATCACATTAATTTTCTAGTTACAAACTTCAGATCAGCGATGCTACAAGATATAGAAATGCTAATTTACTGTAAAAACGGTTATCCTGATGTTTGTTTCCTGATAAAATTATCAATCTTTATATACAAAAGAAAAGCAGGTCCAACACCACTTAAGTTGCCAAAAATCTGTTCACTTTCTTGATAAAATGATTACACCATAATTATGTTGACGGTTTCACCACAAAGTGATGTGCACGATACGTTTGGTGCACCACAAAGTGACTTTTTACACACGACACGATTTGAGGTGTACCAACTATCCACGATACATCAATCATGATGTAACCGACGATGTGTACCTTTTTTTTTACCTTACGTGATCAGAAAACTTGACTTAGGTTTTGCTAATACATGTAATTCTGACGAGAAAATGAAAATGTAATATCACACTTTTCCAGTCTGTAATCTCTTGGTGAATGTTGGGTATTCCAAGCTTTCGAGGAACAGAGATCGGCAACGTGCGCATCTGCCACCAGCCTCATCAATGTTAAAAAAAAAGAGCCGGCAAATCGTGAGGGTGGTTCATTTTGCCCTGAACAATTATTTCAGACAATTTAATTCATCTATGCAGCAGCAAACAAACAGTTCCCCATGAGACACCCAATTAACAACAGAATCTTGGCAAGGCTGCATCAGATGACACCGACAAGTGATAGTTTTCATCTTTCCGACATTTTTGCGGCAGTAAATTTACAAAACTGTTTTTTTACCATCTGACCGGAAGCAAGACCAACATACCACAGAATGTAATGGCCAAACACCCCCCCCCAAAGCGTAACTTACAAACGAGCAAGGCCAACTCAACGGAGCATTTATAGCTCCTGCTTTGTCCTTACAAGTTTTATTCTCCAGGATGTCACAAAAAGTTTACGATCCAGAAAAACATAGCAAACTGTCAGAAATATTGGCATAAATCCTCCACTAACTAAAATCAATTTAAAATATCAATTTTATCTCTACATATTTCATCTATGTATTAACATATATTTACAAATATTCACTCGCAACAAGGCACTCGAACTATCAAAAACTGCATATTTTTCATAAGTTCACCAAGGTGCATGTAAGTACAACCTTTACTGTGGCGTAACTGGTATTCTGCCAATGCAGCCCAGCACAAATGGCAGTGAATGTGAACCAGTGCTAAACATGACTGGTAGCAAAACTCTCCTACGCGTATCACAAAAAATCCACTGCAGGGAACCAGTGAAAGCAGGTAAAAGTCTTCAGTGGTGCTCTGCCTAGAGTATAACTGCACCATTTACTTTTTACTTAACCATACCAAGATGGTAGCCACACCCACCAGCATCTATATTGACCTGTCTCTCAATGACCTTTGACCTCTATGTCCGAGGACACATGGTGAGGTTCCGGGCAAAGTGGAAGTTGTACTCAAAGAAGTCAATGCCCACGCCATGCCCTCTCGAGTCACAGTTGATGACCTGCAGCAAACATACACAGTAAGTGCCACATTGTAATACATTTACTGTGCACCGTGACGGTCGAGTTAGTGACTTGACTCGAGTCACAAACAACAGGTGACTCGACCGACATTACACAATCCACAGACTAGCTATCTCGTTGGTTTGACTGAGTGTACTGGCTGGGACAGAAAAGCAAAAAGGAAAGACAGCAAATATCTTCCTAGTCTAGTCTCTGTCTCTCTTTGATTAATTGACCAGATTGGGTATCAGTCATCAGTGGCTCAAACTGACATGCATATTAATATGACTCAAGGACTCGATTCGATGCACTCACTGCACTAGGGAGTTACTTCATTAAAAAATAAATTTGACTCACTGGCTTGGTCTGATACAGTGACTCAACCTGTCCTTCCTGATCCGACTCAACTCGAGTTACTTCAGCTTGAGTCAATGGACTCAGTGACCCTTCATTACACCGTTTGTGAGTAGTGTCCCACCACATTTCACCTAGACTGGTCCTCAACGATTGACGAGACTAGTCAAACCAGCACTGCATTTGATGAACGCTGGTCGAAATATGATCAACAGCAGAAGCAGCTTTGGGATAAAACTCCCTCCAGGTTCTTTGGACCTACCACTTACCCCTTGCATGGATGTGACCAAGAAAGGAAAGGTGGAATTGACAAAGTAGCCGATGGGAAGGCTGAATCGGTGATTTGTGCCCTGAAATCACAAACAATAGAGTTTTCAAAATACTTGAAGATTTGTTCAGGTTTGTTTTCTGGCAAAAAAAGATCTCCGTTTGAGAGATAATGTGGCGTAGGTGGGGAATTCACAAAATGCAGCGCGTCTCAGAAGTTGTGACACCGTTGCACACTCTGACGAGAAGCATTCCTGTTCCAACCAGGCTTTCAGATAAATATTTGTTGCTCGTGTGTCTTGCGTGATGCTTGCTAAGCCATCTACACAGGCAGTGCTATTAACGTACCTCTGAGTAGCTGGTGTTTTGGGGAGAAACCGCGTGCCCTGACTCGAGACACTTCGCGATGAGGGTGGGCCTGCAGAGCCACACGCAAGAGCTGACGGTTGTACTGAGACAAATGTGCACAAATAGACGAGAGAGTCGGATTAGTCCCTTGCTCTACCCAAATCTGAGCTCACTGTTTCCACAAGAACTTCAAGGATATTATAAAGCTTTTTCGGGGATCTGTAGTAACAGCACATGGTTTAGCAAGACCAAGTCCATACATGAAACCTCCTCCGTTTCAAGTCTTGCATGCCAATCAGAAGAATGTCAGACGATTATTCAACTTACTTGATCTCAAGTGTGAATTTCTTCATGGGAACGTAGGCAGGAACAGATATATTGTAGTTGTATTTGCCGCCTTGCCTGGAAAGAGAAAGAACGAGAAAAATAAAACAAAAGCGTTAACCACTGGAAAGCTCTTTTTCTGCTGAAATTAAAAATACCAAAATCAAATTTTCTAAAACCTATTTCCAAAAATTCTGACTGTCAGCTCATTTTGCGGGGACATGTCACAGATCAAACTGCCCTGTATTTGTTATTACCCCTACGCACGAGGGCCAAAGAAGTTCCCTTTAACCACTTCGAACCGGGGCATTTTTCAACGTTGAGGATGCTGGGCCGGCATGACTATCATTTTTTCCGTTTTCAAAATCCTTCAACAATTCATCATTCCATTTAACAGTCGTTTATAGCCGCACGG